AGTAGACGATGGACGGAAGTAATAAAGTTGAAAGTTGGAAAGTGAAGTTTTCCAATGAATGTAAACTGAGTTAGAATCAAAGAACAGTGAAACAAGTCAGAATGAGAAAGAATTATATTAAATCGTTTGAAAATTTTCTCCACTAAAAATGTTATTCGATGCAAGGAATTTATTCTGTCAGCAAGCCAGCATTAATTGGCTTTTCTGAGAAAACGGTGTCATTTTATGCAAATAAGTTTGGACTACAGAAAATTTTGCGCATTAATTTGCCCATTACTCTGAGCATTTCCTGATTGAAGAAAATAAAATTTGTCTTTTGGTCCACAACAAAGGGGTCTGTAGGATAGCAGTAAATTAAGGTTTTCATTTACCCTGTTTAAACGGAGAGCTTCCGGCAGGAATATGAACCTAGTGAAAGTGTAGTTATGTTTTTATGGTTGACCCTGAAGTCATGCCGGCGTTTCTGTTCAAGAGTCCGCGCATGCCTCTTGATTTCCGCTTTCGCTTTAATTGTGTTCGTGTTCTTAAAGTTGAATCAAATCCACATATACAACTCAGTGTTCGCCTCTACAGTCACATCGTGCTGGACGTTCAATATGGATGACAAGAGGAAGGCCCCAACCAGAAGATTGTTTGACTCAGGTTTCGGCGGTTCGCAGCGGCCTGATCAAGTTGAAGAAGGTGCAAGTCGACAGCCGTACAACTACACTAATCGACCTCGAGAAGAGTCGACGCAGGAGCGGCTGCAATTTGATGTGGATACGGGAAAGTTAGTCGTGAGCAGCAACCCTGAAGTAAAGCAGGAGGTCGTTTCTGTTCGCCATGTCCCACTGTCTGTTCGCGAGCCCGCTCGGCAAGTCCCTGCGTTTGTTCACGATGTTCGCGAGCCTGTTGCTGATCGTCCTGTGGTGGACGCCATGGCTGCTCAAGGATTCTTCATGTATTGACTGAGATGTGTCTAATCAAACGACGGCGGAACTGAAGTAACCGATTCTTAAGACGTCTTGAAATGCCTATGATATATTCCTCTGCGCAATCGCTTGCTGTTTAGATTAGAAATAGACAAAATTTTGGATTTGCATTCACTATGTATAAATTGTAAGGAAATATTGCTGTCCTTGCATGTTTATAGTTTCAGTCTGCTTTTTTCCTTTTTCTGTTCTTCAGTTGTACTGAATGATCGCTATTAATTCGGACGGGATGTCGGTAATTCTCAAATTTAACGCAGCAGAAAGCAATGAGAAATCAGATCTGTTATTTTGTGTGGGCTGTTCAAGGATATCCAGCTATATCTATTCGACATTTACACTGTGTTACATGCATTTGTAGAAATAAAAGCAAATTGTTCACAATTGTCGTTGCAGTATATAATATGTCTTCCACCAATCTTTAATAATTATTTTCTATCATAAGGTTATCAAAAAATATCAGAAGCGCTCTGAAAATATTCTTTGGGTCATCAAGAAATTACCATATTCTAAGAATGTGTTACTCAATTAAAACAGTTTTGGATAACACAGGTTACCTCCAAGAAAAGCTTTTAGATATTTTGCCTTGAAAAGATTAACAAACAACGAAATCTGACTTAGCTAAGGAAAAATTCGGTCTGTCGATAGTGATAACATTTTCATTTCTTTAAAGATACTGTCTTACAGAAGGAAATGATAGTCAGATGATTTCACCAGTCATTTTCCGAAAATATATTATATGCAATTTCCATACCAGAAAAACACGACTCATCATGACAAAGACAGCAAAATTCCACGAATACCCGGAAGTCAATACTTGGAATTGTCGTTGTTTCTCCGAAATGGAAACAAAAACAGGACTTAAAAGAATCTTGTTCCGAGAATATATATTGAAAACACGTTTGCAAAACTTTCGTGGCAGGGGAATGTAAGTTACAAAGGTTACCCAAGATAGTCACATTTCAAACGAAAGTATCATGAGGCCAAACAAAACAAACTCCTCTGCATGGGTAGAGAGGTGATAATTTCTGTAAAATTACTTGACTCTGTTGATATCAGTTTATGTTAGTTTATCAGTTTTCGTGGAGAAGTCTTCTGTTTATTTGGTGAAAGATTCTCCTCAGTGGAGCTTAACCAATGGCAAAGATATTAGTGACGTCAACTATTGTTATCAAATGGCAAACCAGAGAATTATTGGCTGCTGAAACAAAGAGTTCTATTGTTTAACTCTTTGTGCATTTAAATAACAAAAATAATGTACGTTTGTAAAAAGATATCTTTCCTATAACGACGGCGACGCCGGGTACAAGGCCTAGTAGAAAGTGGACTTATATTTTACCTTTGAATGTCGCAAATGTCTAGATCTGTTCAGTACGCCTATCGGTCGAAAAACTTGCTCAGGCTAAATATATTACGATAGCGTTTAGTTACAGACGAAAATGCGCAAAATTAGGCGTCGCGGTTAACGTTCTCCAAACACACAGGACTTGATCATTTCACGTCGTTGTTTTGCAGAGGACAGTAAACTAGACAAAGATTTATAACGCACGTGAACAGCTATTGTTTTGCTCATGAAATCTTTGGTTTGATGACGATCTCGTTGGCATCGTCGTCGTGGTTTGCTTAAGCTCCCTGCTAGCGGCCACTCATCGTTTGTCGTTACCATTATACGCATACCCTTAAAAAGTAAATGATGGCCTTCTGTTGCGTATGATTTTTTTGACAACGAACACTTCCAGAAATGGTTATAATTTTGAAAGTAAAATAATGTGTAAAACTGAAAAATATCAGTGCATCCTAAATACATGAGAATCATCTATTAGAATTCGAAACGCACCAAACATAGCAAGGCTCTAATACATATTACGTCATATTTCATTTTAAATCACATAAATGCCTAAGAGTTTCTTTCTTAAACTCAAAACTAAGCTACAACCGGCACGAGGAAACACCATTGCACCATCTCTTTCAGTGTCGGCGATTGATCCCACATTTTAGCATGGATGACACATTCTTCAAGACTCGACCTGACCAAGAAACCAAGCCAGACTCAAAAGACAGTAAAGATGGGTCACATTCAGGCAAAGGTGCAAGTGGGACTTCAAGTCACTGCAGTAATCCCTCGAACTCGACGTGCGATCAGCCGTCCTTAGACATGATCGAAGCAAGGAAGGGAGGCCCATTGATAGACCGCGACAATCCTGACCGACCTGTGGTGGATCGTATGGCTGCTCAGGGATTTTTCTACGATTGAACTTGCTCCACTTTTTCAAACACGAACTACATCAAATAGCTTTTCTGGCTCTTAAAAGTTACATCGAACGCTGATAAACTAAACTATAAGCTAAAGCGAATGTGAAATCTGACGACGCCCGTGAACGACTTGTCACAAGGCAAGAAGCCAAGTTTTACGATTGGTGTATGTCGGCCAGTAAGGATGAGTATCTTAAGCATTTAGTACCACGGATTTAGTTGCAAGTAGTGTATATCTATATAACTATTCCGAAACTATGACATATTAAATATTTGATTCATTGTACTGGTCTGTTGTACTGTGTGGTGTCAATTATGATTCTTAAGTTCCAAATGCGCGTGAGTATCCTTGCGTACGGCGCATGCGCCCGCAGTGCGAGCGACTGTCAAAACTGTATTGTCCTTTCGAACGAAATGACATGATAAAATACATTGTGTTTGAAACTAACAAAAATAAAGACAATGGTAAGTTGTATTGATCTCTTCTCCCATTTATCTCGAGAATTCCCGGTTTAATGTAACGACGAACAAGATATTTTGTTAAGAATAACACAGCTATTAACCTATATACCTGGCGACGGGCGAGACCAGTTTTGGCGTCATGTTAATGCTTAGAGGAACAAAATGTTTCATTTTTTTTTCATTTGTTACAAGCTATTATTGTTTCTTGTTTTTTAAACCCTTGCCGGAGTTTTTCGTGAATATTCAATACAGTCTTCAGTGAGAAAAGTGGCCCGACTTCAATCCCTTTCCTGTTAACATACATGTGACGTCAGGACAGATCAGTCTCTCACGCCTGCTGAATCCTGATTGGCTAATTCAAATGTTAGAAGCCTGGGGCGTATGCAAGGATCATGTCTAAACTACAGACGTCTCTAGTTACTAGTTTGGGGGGCCACCCGGGGGAAGGGGGAAAGAGTTGGTAGCATGTTCCTTTGACCCTTTGAAAATCCCATTTTTTTTTCCCTATTCTCTATTGATAAATCCCATTGTTCCCTTTTTTTTTCTCAATGTTCCCTTTAATAGGAAGGAAGGAAAGTTTTAGTATGCATAAAAAAGTACATCCACTGGCGCTTTTCCGGTCTTTGTCTGCAAAAAGAAACAATGATAAAAGGCACACTCGAGCTTTTAAAATTTTACTTTTACTTTTGATATTTCAATATTCTTTTTTTTTTTCTAAATATGTGTGTGTAAAAACCTTTTAAATAATTTTAAATTTAAATTAGGCTCTTTGATTCTGTGGGGCCCGGCCCAAATTCCATTCAAAATATGTACAAAAACAATGCGTATAAGAAACGTTTCTGGAACGAATCTCTGAGACCGTAACGTAACCATATCAGTTTATGCTAAGCCATTAATTTACATGAAATGTGGTCCCGTAACTCCAGTTGAACCAAACAGAGATACCAAATAGAGTTGCTGCTGCTGCTGCTGTTGTTGTTGTTACTTTTGTTGTTGTTGTTGGTCTGTTGAAGAGAACAAGATCCATCGTGTGAATTAGCGTGACTGGTCTTTTGCGTGACCTTGTATGATCGACCTGTAGCGTGACTAAGCGACATTTGAGAATATAAAATCATTTCAAGAATTAGAATCTCTGGGTTTCATCCCTGAAGTAGGCAATGTTTTTACATAGCTTAAAATTGATTTATAACTGACCAGCAACCCTTTCATCTGGATATGTACGTAATTGTATGTGATTGTTGACTGTTCTGGTTTTTATATCAAACATTTCGTAGCCAGATAAATATATCCAAATCCTATATATAACATTAACTATACCATTATTACGTCAGAGTAGGCCTGAAGGCGATAAGTTCAAATTGGAAGTTCTTGGCTTTAAATCGCTCTTAGCCGTAGGCAACGTTCTTTTGAATATGAAAGGACCGAACTTGAGGCCTGGACTCTTTCCATTTGAGGACGGTGGATCGAAGAAGACTCGTTCTCGATTCTGACCTAGGCCATAAACGCTACATGCCAATCCAGCTCTGTAAATGACTTCAAACGAGTGCTCTGCAATGGGCTTTAGATACGAAAAACCGAGAGAGCCGGGGAGTTGAGTAAACAGAAGTAGTCCGTCTTCTTGGGTAATGTTAACAATTACTTCCGGAATCCACTGGGACACAATTACGTATTCACCAAGGTACTGTTCATTATTGGGGAGAAGTTCAATCTATAGAAATATGCAAAAAATAACATTGAGGATACGAAGATATAAGAACTAGAGGGCCTTATGTCTGAGTGAAGTGCGACCAAGAAACAACACTACGAGATTTCACCGCAACTTGTTAGCGCCATGTTATGTGCTAAAAGAAGACATCCCTCTAAAAGGCTGTCTTTTACTATTCGTGAACAACACAATAAGCATGGCTGAGCTCCTTGAGGATAGATTTGTGTTTTACGATCGGAAAAATCGGGGAAAACTGACTACAGGCAGAGGTTCTCCCACCAAACTGACTGGGTTCGCAAGTTGTAAGTGGTAAATCTCGCAATCTTAGCGGTACTCGCGCGCACAACAATCTAAAGGCATACAATAAACACGAGTGCTAGTTTGGAAGAACAAGAAAAATTGTTCTAACACATCAACTATTTCTCCGTCATTCGACCTAAGATAATACGAGGCAAATCATTTTGATTATCGATCTTGTCAATACTTATTCATAATCCACAATTGTTACCTGGAGTTGCTGGCTAAACAACACTGCATCCATCGTTTTAGCCAATGTCTCAACGATTGATTGTACTACCCTCCAGGCAATCTCACGACCGCTGGCAAGGACAACAGCACCTGTGGAATGGTTTTTAAAGTAATTATTGTAACCAACTTCAGTTCGGCAGTGCCCAGCTCTATTAACAGCCGCACAGTTCGACCTCAAGCTTACTGGGGACAGTTTAGTTTCTCCTCCCACTCGCTCCCTCCCCCTTCGACAATCCACATTCCCTCCCCTCTTCCTTCTCGTCAGGAAAGCAAATGCGAGAAACAAAATAAGAAAACAGAAGAACAAACCTAGCTTGAACTCTGGTACAAAGGCAAACCCAGCAGAATAACCAGGAACGAATCCAGATTTCGATACCACAGAGTATGTTCCAACATCTGTAATCTCCCATCCAGTCCCAAACACTGTTTTACCATCTGGATACATGAAATCTACCAGGCGAGGTAAAGGAAAAAAAA